AAAAGTGGGTGTTTCATTGTACAGTGGCATTAAATGCCGTAATGCTGTAATGGGGATAAAAGGCGTGATGCTATATTTTATATATATATAATATAACACCATGAGTTTTGTTCTCTACAGAGGTAGAAGAGTTAAAGGATAGAATAGAATAAAATAATCTTTATTGTACACCATTAATAATAAATTTGTGCATACAGATAAAAGACATAATAAACATAAAAAAATAGGCACAAAGGCGGTCTTATATTACAATGATTTCTACTTCAAAAAAGTTTTTGACCAGGTACGAAACCGCTGTAGAAGTTTTGATCATTCGTTCTTTTTAATGTTCGAATTCAGAATATTTGAAAACTCACAGCAAGCTTATAAATACAAATATGGTAAAAAAAATCCCAAACCTTGAATCAAACTAGAAACAAGGAGTTTTCAGGAAAAACAAAGAAATATTCTATACCGTCTTATATATTTTTCATATCACATTAGATATCGCATAAAATCGCCAGTGTATTCCGTATGTTCGTACCGGATTGTCGTCTCGTCGAGACGGAGACTACAAGATTGGGAATAGACAGTGCACCTGTGTTTGTGTCGGTGCAATATTCTATATGTATAAGTTAACCTCAGTTAGATTTGCCACTATTTGGAAATATTTTTGTAGTAGTTTATTCTAATTGTCTAACATTGATTGACACCATTGAATTAAATCTTTAGCTGACGCTAAGAAACAAATTAAAACATCATATTAAACAATCACGTTTATAATAATCATTCCAACGAAACATTTTAAAAACACATCCATACTCAACATTTTGGATTCGGCTAAGAACAATTTTATAGTATCAAACACATATTATAATGTGCCTCCAGACACATTAATTGAAGGTTGTAATATATGTATGTGTTACTAACAGAGCAAGTACGGAACAAGTCGCATTAGGTGCACTTAACAACGATGTAACGAAGTGCTACAAACTCAGCCCGAGAAGCGATTACGCTTAAGCATCTGTACTAATTGGCATCACACGTGTTAATGTTAACAATTAAACTTTAATGTAACAATGCGACACAATTACATACGACGCTACTACTACATACACGACACAATTTCGAGAACAAAGAAAAATGTAGACTCTTCCAATCTTATTATTTGTCAGGTACAATACTTTACTAAGATTAACGATGTAACCAAAATTAAATTCGATCCGCGCAATAAATGATCCACTCTCGCGATTCCAATGAACTCGAATACCACAAATTCGCGTCTTACACTAGATAGTGTCGTGATCTATCTGCAAACTTCAAATTAGTTAACTAACCGAAATTTGCATTAGTTGTTTGTTCATTCAGTTTACACAATAGGACCCGAGGAACTGAAATTAGGCGCGACTGATAATAATAAACAGGCAGAATCGAATCTCCAGTTAAATTGGCTTTATCAAGCTCTTATTGCGAAGGGCTGTGTCGCTTGGAACACCTGACCGCTAATTGTGTTACATGTTTATACGTACACGACTTCGACGCGCTCAATATCCCGGACAGGCTCATTCGACCGGCCCGACAATGTACGCACCCATTTACAAATGCCGTATCTACGCCAATGTAATTGTAGAATAGATCGGTTCCTCACATAATGCGTATCGTATAGCCGACATGTTCAAGTGAATCTTGTTGCATTTTGCATAAAATCGATACTCATGAATACCCACAGCCACAGCGAAGCCGCCGTGAGACTCGGCTACTCGAATTTGCTACAATCGGTTTTATTTTTAGGTGAACGCCATTTCCCATGTCCGAAATGTATGATACACTTTAAAATTATTCCTTTCTTGTCTATCGCGTAACCGAATTGAATTTTATAAAAGTAGACAGAAGATGTAAGTATCGACTTTGTACGAAGTATGAAGTAGATACGAAAGAAGTGATTATTGTATAACAACATTCAAATATACAAAATACTTCTTACATACCATAATGCCAAGGTTTTTGTTTTAATAATTTGTTCAAAGGTCAGGTCAACGACAAAACTTTCAAACAATAATAATATTGAAAATCGAATTGTCCTACTTAAATCCTTTATTAGTGGGTAACTAATGACTTGGATAAAATAGTATCCAATTGCACTGCAGTACCTGAATAATAAAAACAAACAAAAAGATTAATAGCGGAATGAGTCTTTGACGCGTATTTCAATTAGAGGAAAGTCAATTTAGGGTGAAAGAGGTAAGTAAAGCGAGCGACAGCGATGGCGAGCGGCCCGGACATCGGCGGGCGGCGGGTGGGCAGGGAATCTAATTTGCCGGGGAGCCCAACACGGACTTTTGTCACAGCGTACTGTGCCAATTAGGTAAATACGCGAGCAGTGGACGAGGCGGCCCGACTGCCGAGTGGGAGGCGCGACCCGTCACGTGCATCCGTAAACACTTACGGTCTGATGAGCGGCCCGCCCGTAATCATATTTCAAGTGGCCGAGTAATCTCGTTGTCTCATCAACACCGACTACATTATTAACACGTTACACTGTATTAGAGCTTATTAAAGTAATTAAACCCTTTACAGTAGGATTTAACCGTCTTTGGGGTCTCGTTAAGTTATGGAGGTTACCTATTACGAACGATTTGTAATCACGTGACGATATTAGTTAGAACCAAAGTGATGATAATACTGTCAGGCTTAGTAAATGTAGTTACCCTCCGAATCTAATATTTATTTACTAGAACCCATAGTTTTCAATTAGGCAAGCAATACAAATGAAATTACATAGGGGTAATAAGACTGTAGGCAATGTTGCGGTTGTTGGTAGTCTGTTCCAAACTAAAGGTCAACTTTATTCGATTCCAGCTAGGTAGGTATGTACGTATACAGGCTTAGTGAAATAGAAACTGTTATTTTGGAATTATCGAGTCTAGAGAAAAAATTGATGCTAATGGTACTATTAGGCAGTCACTTATTAATTCCACGACATCTAGTCAAACATTGTTTATATAGAACAACAGGTAAATAAAAAATCAAAGCATGTCAAATTCATTATTCATAGCAGCATCAATTCAAAATTGAAAAGAATCCTACAAAACCATTCTCAAAGGTCACGTATCGTGGAATACAACGACACAGCAAGCGTTTTGTCGCTTCCCCGACATTGTAACACATTTTTCGACAATGTGACGTTAGAGATTTGACCGGCCAACATCGTACACTATTACGTAGTATTGAAGCCGTTCCCAAGTTGAACAAAAGACTTGGCACAATCATTTTTCTATTAAAAAAGGCTTGATCCCAGCTAAGAGCACATTTCACGGGCCATCTATCTTGCGGGATATTAGAAACAACATTTTCCGATTGTTTATACGTGCTCGGTAAGCTCTTCTTTCATTAGAGACGACGACGTCGCGCGTCGCTTGCACAGCGGCCCGCACCGCTCCACCGCTAAGATTGATGGCCGCTGGATGGATTTGTTCTATTCGCGTACTCACTCATCAATCATTCGCGGATATTTTTCCGTGTCTCAGGTTGTTTAGCCTAAATAGATTGTTGCAGCATTGAAGCATCGCTCATATCGATCGGTGTAGTATTGACGGCTACATACGTAAGTCTTCTCACTGCCAAAGTGGCGGACATTATTCAACTTTATCGACATGTTTTATTCATATTTTAGGAGCCGATTTCGAAACTGTAAAAACGAAATCTTTTGCCGAGATTCGGTTTATCAGTACGAAGTCAACTAGAAAGTTGTTTTACGCTTATGATAATAATCCAAAGTTTCTTACTTTCCTGTAATTCTCTATTTCAATTATAAGTTTGAGGTTGGAAATTAAAGTTTGTGTTGACAATAAATTAGTATCCTGCCTAATATAATCAGGGAGTGGCGTAACTCAGAAGCAATGGCAGGTCATATTATAAGGGCGTAACCACAGGCCGCAATGCGACCAGCTCTAACCGCCATTTGGTACACACTTCGCAGATAACCAAATAGGCTACTTGTGGTTTACAAGCCGGCGCGCACACGGCACCTACGCTATAGCGACCATGTAAATAAAGCTTCAAATTACCTACAAGTTCCACGAACTACTACAACATTGACTTTATAGTTTATGAGCCAGGATTACATCTAAGTTGCTTAAGGCACCCAAGTATTTCGAAACACTTCGAGAGACCTGCTCATAAAACAACTATCAGATTATTAAATTCTCTATTGCAAAAAACACATTATAATAAAGTACACGTTTCTGAGAACACAAAGGCGTCGTATTTTTTTCTATGCAAACCTTTTAAATCGGCTCAATATTAATGAAAAGCCAACCTTACCAAATACTGACGAATCAAAGGGTCCGTGTCAAATATTACTCAATATAACTAAAGTATGTACTTTGATGGATTGCTCTTGTACCTAGCCCTCGTACTTACATGTACCTAAACCCATTGTATGTATTCATGGCCGACCCAACATTATTCTCTGTCGTGATTGATTAATTTAAGTGTACAGTTCTCAGTACGACTACCTGCGAACGTAACCGCGCAGTCAAAAGTCACCGGCACATTCGTGTTCACTTCAAATTAATAACAACCAATTAGTTATACTTAATACTGGTACTTAGTTCTCGTTTTTTATTTGGCCTTCGTACTGACTTGTTGTGTTTACTTTTTTCACTATTTTGCTAAATACCTAACTGTTGAATAACGAAAGAGCAAATTGTTGTTTATTTAAAACGGCTTATACATTAACTTAATCTAATAAGATATTATTAATATTTGGACTCTTTTTTTACCTTGTACGTGTAAAAATTTACAATTCTATGAAAAAAGTACTCTCTAGGTACTAGCAAGCTCGGTACTAGATAGATACTATAAGCAAGGAAAGAAAAGAATACATAGAACCTACATGCACTCACATACCAAGACATAAATGTACCGATAGACATGGTTATAAAATAAAATACATACAAATACGACAACTAGGACAAAACATTGCAAACAGATCTGTTTATCTGTTGTGTTTGTTTCAGAATCATTGTTTCCTCGTTTCGTGGAGCCGGTCACGAACGTGACGGTGACGGTGGGACGAGACGCGCTCCTCGCCTGCGTCGTCGAAGACTTACGAGGTTACAAGGTGACTATACATTTCATACCCCACTAAAATTTTCCCCTTTCTAGTGAAAAAATATCAAAAAATACAAAACGAGGTTTTGTAACTTTGTAAAGTTAATTAAACAACGGCTTCATGAATAGGGGTTGCTGTTTTAGTTACCATTTTCAAGAGTTTGTTTCGCAAATTGTTTTCTTTGCAATTTTTACGTGTAAACAGTCAACGCGTGGTGGACTCATTATTTTTGATGCTCCACAATGAGAGTGTTGTGTAAGGGACGGTGTTTTAAACAACCATTATTCCAATGTTTCATTGTCGAATTCTTTCATCTTGGATTCGATTCTGAAGTCTAGAAAAATGCGTTACGTACTTTGAAATTAATTGTAATTCCCCAAATTTTTCGTTTAAAATGTATATGTTCATAATGTGACATTAAAAATGAAATGAAATAAATACGTGATTATCTTCATTAGAGAGGTACGTATTCAGTACAGAGGTACCCAGTAAATAATTTCAAACCGAAAGCTACGCCAATACTGGCCAATATCGTTACACAAATTGATCCTGTCAAGCAACCTCGCTCTAACACACATCAATTCTCTCTTCCTTGTTATTCACGTTGTTGCCAAGTTACCGATGTATATATAATAACATATTTACTTATATCGCACAAAGTTATATATTTAATACGATAAACACAAGTATATATGGACTGAGCCATGTCAGTCTTCACTTGTTAACTGATACGCCATGCCGCAAATCGTTAATCTATCAGAACCCGTTGCGGTGATTCTGGTACCACCCCAAATTATTAGCTACCAAAGGGTTGATCCCAACATTAGAATAGCAGACTTCATAGAAAGATTTATATCGTATCGTTTCTTCACTGTAAAGTAAATATACAGCTTGGATATCTCTGAAGGATTGTCGTTGTACACACATGATGTCAGCAAAGTTCAACAAGGAGCTTCATGCTTGGCCCTGCCTTTTACAAAATTTTGAATCACAAACGGAATGAATAGTAACAGGAATTTTCTGCTCGAGTATTCCAACTAAGGAATCCTACAGACTGTAGTTAACCTCCAAACACATCGCTGACGGTATTAGTTCCTCAGTCTATTTACACGAGCATACCTCAAGTTGATATTGGCAAGCAATTAAGAAAGCAAACAAACAGTAGCACGGAGTCTTCACCGATGACGTCATGCCCCATGATGAACGAGCGCCGTGTAATTCTATGAACGGATACGTTGCGCCAGAACTTCATACAACTCCATTCGTGCGGTGCACGGGGTAAAGTTTTAACAAGCCAACTTAATATCACTTTGCTCAGAATGCACGATTCGCCAGTTATTAATCATGCAGGACGGCTAGTTAGCGAAATTGGAGTGCTGTATAGCGCAGATATATTTGGGAGAAGGTGAGGCTGAATTAGTCGCCATTTGGATTATTCCGTGACGAAAATTAAATTATAAAGTCAAAAGAATAAAATAGTTGCATGTCATGAGAGGTAGAATAATCAAATTGGACTATTTAGCTCTTTATTTCTTTTATAGTTAAATAAACTTTTAGAATATCGTTATATTATACATTGTACATCTTCATAAATACGAAACATAAACTGAATTAAAAAAAGGAGCAATACTTTACAATAAAATACTTTTCCGAGTAGGTAGGTCACGTTAGCAAAATATTGTTGAGAAAAGCTTTTGTTTTACGGGTTCCAAGATAAGATTGATAAGTGTAATATAATTTTTGTGGTAAAACTTAGTTTGCATGTGGACGTGAGTCAGCTCGATAAAACTCGTAACTTTGTATAACGGATCACTATCTCATGGAAACCTAAATGTGTTTGTCACTCTCGTAAAAATACAAGTTTCTACGTATACTTAAAACTTTATGCACATCCATAAATTCTTTGAAATGCTTCAAAGGAAATACTTACTTCTCTGGTTTGCCGCACTTTTACATTTGCTGCTCGTTCATCCGTACATGTCCTTATAATGCAGCCAGCTGTATGAAGAAATTCATTGCTGTGCACCTAAGAAATGTATTTTTATGTTAGCCTCGACATTTTCATTTCAATATTGACTTCAAGTGCTTAAACTTTGAATAACAAATCGCTGTTTAGCATTGTTAAAGCTAGATCTGATTCATTTAGGTATTACAATACTATTCAGTGAGAATGCAATAAAATTTATTTACACAGGTGGCGTGGGTCCGCGTTGACACTCAGACAATTCTGAGTATCCACCACAACATAATAACCCAAAACGCGCGCATCAGTCTGTCATACAACGACCACCGCTCGTGGTACCTGCACATCAAGAACGTGCAGGAGGTGGACCGCGGCTGGTACATGTGCCAGGTCAACACCGACCCCATGCGCTCCAGGAAGGGTTACCTGCAGGTGGTGGGTGAGTGTATAAACTAATATTTTATCGAAACCTTTATTATTTTACTTAAGGTATACGGTGAAACGACTATCAATGAACATTTTAGTGGAGATTGCAATGCTCTTGCAACGTTGTGCTAGACTAGCTCCATTACTGAATGGCGGTCCCACTCTACAGGTTTGCCTGTCCAGGTTTATTGACAAAACTGCCTAACATACCCGGCATTTTAGGGTGGAATTTTATTCCCCTAAAAGCTTTACTATCAAACCTGGGCTAAGAGCAAGTTGATATTTTGACATTAAAATACCCGAACTAAATACCTGCGTACACCGTCCCTAGTTTAGGTGTAATAAGGTTACGAATTTATATAGCATTGCTGTGGTTGCGGTTCGGACCCGGGAATAGAGCAGGTAACGGTGACCTTACCCTTAATAAAAAATATATTCACGAAATCAATTATAACATGAAATATTTTGTGTGTTGCAGCTTTGTGTTTATGTTATTATGTAGGGAAATATGATTGCTAATTTCGTTAGCTTTTTATTCTTAGCACCTACTATTATTAATACTTTTTTTATCCGCAGTACCACCAGTGATAATAGACAACATGACGTCGACGGATATGGTGGTTCGCGAAGGTACCAACGTGACCATGGTCTGCCGAGCCACTGGCTACCCTGAACCGTACGTCATGTGGAGGCGAGAGGACGGACAGGAATTCAACTGTAATGGCGAATCAGGTAAGAGAAAAGGTCTTATAAAGTGAAATATTATTCAAGTCAGAAATATTGATGCTGACTTTGTTATCACTTGAAATCATCAAAAGAAAAAGACAATTCCAAAATCCCATTAAAATATCACAAACTTAATCTTGTCGCTAATGCGAATCATCTACGCCCAAACGCTTCATACCAAGTTAAAAGTCTATTTTGTTCTCTTAAATGGAAACAAAAAGAACAGCTAACACAGTTAACAAAAGATTTTGGTGCTCCTATAAATATCCGGTCAAAACATTAGTTCCGGACGCTCATTACACTGACGCGCTCCCGGCGAAACAAAGCAGATGAATGAAAGAAATCCCTGAAGCGAAAAATGGAGTGGAATGTACCCACTGGGATCCCGTACATCGTCCATGCTAACGTTACACGGTTCAAAACAAAATTCTGTTCTCAACACAACGAAATTATAACAAAGATTATTTTCCTCTTTATGGCAGTTGATCAAAATATGATTTACACAATTTATTTTACTTGTCACTTTGTTGATATTAACTTAATGTAAATTGGTTTTTGATTTTGATTAATTACTAACTCTATTAAATGCTTATTTTATACCCTTTGTGTAAAAATTACACATACTAAATTTTAGTAACAAAACGCGTAAGTAGTAAGTTTATTTTTAACATATTTATGTATTAAAAATAAGATTTTGAATAAAGGCCGAAAGCCTGAACTTACAGCAAATATTTCCTACCACATCTCAATCCTCAAATGGAGGATCCCAAAAGGGTACGAAATGAAATGAATTGTTCCACATAGTAGGTACTACGAAATTGTAGCCGTAAACGAACATAACAGGAATATTTTCGCAATTGAATTAACAATGGACTATCGAACATGAATAATTACGAAAGCCCGCCATAATTCACTTACGTTTAACAATTATATTCAGTATTTTACCACATTCCTTTTTCACATCTAAATTAAACGTGGGCAATTTTAGTAGGAATACATTATGGATTTTTAAATTGGGTCATCATTGGTGGGCTGGAATTTTCCTTAAATACAAAAACATTGAAAGTAACGATCTATTCAGTACCTTTTATATTTTTTTATCTCTAACTTCTAAGGCTTTAAGTATGTTTACGAAATCCCTGTTCAAATTCTATCATCCTGCGTCACATTTCAGAAGCTAATGTTAATCCCATACATTTTGATCAGTCATACGAAACGATTACGAACATCGAAATGCACTTGTCTAGACCCTGTTCACGCATTCATAACAAACTAACCAATATTCAAACTTCCCTAACATTTGAAATTCCGTGTGTAAATTAGCTCATACGAAGTTGTTCGATAAACGAGTGTTCTTTGGTTGCAGTGAACGTGGTAGATGGTGAAAATTTAACGATATCGAAAGTGTCTCGACTTCACATGGGCGCCTACTTGTGTATCGCCTCGAACGGAGTCCCGCCATCGATCAGCAAGCGCGTCGTGCTCATGGTGCAATGTAAGTTACATTATTACCTCGTACATGAAACAATCTTCGCTGTTCTACATAAGTTAATGATGTATCGCTACATTATAGTTAACTGCTGTTATAGGTAATGAAATGGATTGTCAAGTTTGTTGTGTTTAGGTTGAATTCGAAGTTTTATAAAAATAATTTCAATGTGGTTATTGACGATTATAAATTAGTAAACCTCAGCTGTCGTCTTCAAGAAAACAGACATGCTGTCTTAAATGCGATAACGTAGAATTTTGTAATCGATAAAAAGAAAACACGTAAACTTGTTACACTTTCAATACTTCATCGTAAAGTAATAATTTGAACGAACTGCCAAAATATTCCACATGGTACTCACAGACAAAGTTTGCGAGCCCACAGGTAATATACGTCGTAGAAGGAGCCTGCTCCGTAGCTTGGTTGACTGTAAAACCTTGAGCGAAGCGAACACCGGCTTTCATTAACACATCAACATGGAAATATACAGAACCCACCTGTACTTAAAATTTATGTTCACAGAATTTTCTCTACTTACTTCTCTCCCGCAGTTTCTTCTCTTTACACAAAACTTTTATTATGTCGAGTTTGAATATAGCAATAAAATACACAAGAAAGTCTAATAAAGACCTCCGCTGCTTTATGCAGAGTTTGTGCAATATATGTATGTATTCAAACGTTTTTATCTAAAATTCAACACAGACGTGTGCTACCAAAAGCGACGTTATTTTAAACCACTTTCCCACTGAAACTTAGTTTAAATTTATACAATTACTCGGTTGCTATCTAATTAATTATAAATTATGCTACTAAAAGCGTTTTAAACTTAAGAGATGTAAAGACTTAAAAGATTAAGAAAAATATAAACTTTGAGGACTAACAAAATTAATATCCTCAGCAGCTGCTTATTTAATTTAAATAATTCCAACTGGGATTTGTCCAGTAAGAAATACATTAATTCAAGCCAGTCCGGTGTCGGCCCGGGCTACTGCACACTATGGGCTGCCTTCAATGCTGTAAGACAACTTCAGCAAACTTTATTCTTAGTTCACGACCTATGAAGTACTATAAACAACACTTACCGAGAATATTATAAGCTGCTTACTCACTTGCTTGGATTCTGTGAACTAGTTGAGTCAACGACGTGCCATGTTTTAGCTTTAACAAATATGTTAGTATTCCTGTACTGTCATGTTTGCGTTACACAACACACTGAACGTGTTTAGCGGTACATATTTGTACTTGATTTTCTTTTACGATAACGCCTCGATAACTTGAAATTACGACTCATTTAAATTTTTACTGCCGCTGATGAGTCCCGGGAATCGGTGAACATAATGTTCTGGAATACTTTGAAGCCAATCATTGGTTGTGATTTATGAGGTATTTTTAGCAATTTCGATGTCACCACAATAGGCCCGTAGCTTGCTCTACGTGACAATTAACGGTTACCATCATATTCCCGAATCATTGTGCTCATATGTTGGGTCAACCGTTCCTATGTGGTTCATTACATTTGATTTCTGTTTACATTCAGGTTATCGCGACAGTATTTCGGTGTGTTGATAGCAATTAAGCTTATTGCTAGTGTTTGTGCTATGACAACTTTGTGATACAGTCAAAACTGAAGTATATCTACAGAGTTTCATACTTACGATTGACGTAGGTGATTTGAAGTCATAATTGCTAACGTTTTAATTTATTCTATTATGATCCAAGATTTTATATTAAATGCAATAAGAATAGTTGTAACTCAATTCAGACAGGATTAAATAATTAGGTATTCTATGATCTAATCTTTCACTTCACAGCACTCTGACCAACTCGATCAAGTTAATCTTGAGAATGCAGAATATAATAAATAATTATAAATTTTAATATAATACAAAAGTTCACTAAACTATCCATTCCGATCCGAATCTATTGTTACCTTTTGCCTTTTTTGTAAGTATTTGTATGTTTGTGTTTGTACCGCTCAAGGACTTTTGTTCATCTTATATAGGTTCTCGTCTTCAGTCGAATACATACTTTGTTATATACATATGTATATTTTGCATGTATTCACAACCACACAATGTCACATGTCTTCACAATAGACATCTAGATGTCCGGATTTTGAAGTATAGTAACCGTTACACATGCTCTAAAATAGCATGCTAAGGCTAAGGAGTCACAGGGCGATTATGTCCCGCTCCGGCTGCGGCAGTGGAATGGAGGCGGAATTTTCAAAATTCACGAGACCACAGTTTTCTACGATCCCGCAGCCGCCGTGGTTGCGGGAACGCGGCGGCCGCGAACCCCTAGCCACGCCCGCGTGTGCAGCGGTAGCCACAAAAAATCGCAACCGCCGCGGGCGTAAAACGCGCCGTGAAAATTGATATGATTTTTAGATACATATCTGTATTCTACAAAGGCTGCAGGCCCGCGATCGCGTCGAACGCGGGAGAAAATCGCGCTTGAGTCCTTAGCTTCCAAGGCGTTCTACTGAGCATACTCAAAACTTTTGAAAAATTCATTCCCGAAATGAGCTAATTTTGAGCAACATTCCGACACACACGCTACTACGTGACAAGTGCTTAACTGAAGAATGCTTCCTTGCTAGGAATTAACACGTGTAACCAAGTAAACATATTGTATAAATCTGATGTAGGAAAACGAGGTTACTCTTTAATCAATTCATAATTACGAAACAATGTCAATATACCACAATAATGGCCCCACATATTATTATGATTGACAACTATGTTAACTAGCCGTCTGTACCGAATTCCCAGAGGGTACACACATGTATCACTAATTACGTAAAACTTTACCAAATTATTGATTTCAGATGAAATTCGTAATATTAATTACATTTCAAAGGGTTCAAACTTCCAACCTTGTTAAATAGCCATCTGTTAATGTCACAGTAATTTTAAATAGAAACTAATGTAGTGAGTAATAATATAAGTCCTTTTAGAGTAGGGTAAAAACACTATCATCAATATTTAATGTACTTTTCCTTCACTGACCGCTTTCCTTCCAATTTACCTTGCTGCTTCTATAAGAAAAGTTGCCAGCTAAAGTAAGGAGCTTGTAACTTTTTGTTCAATGTATTAAACGCAGCTTCATAATGTATATTTCGATGTTTTTTTGTAATCAAAGAAAATAAGGAAACAATGTGAAACGTGTTGTTATTTATAAACCAACAAACTTTTTTATTCAGATTACATACTCATAATCAACTAGATATTTTTAATTTATGAGCTGAAATGGTTTTTACATTTTAATCTATATTAATCGTTGCATACAGGGAACATTTCACTGCAAAAAGTCCTTTCAGTTTATAAATTGGCTGCCAAAAAACAGAAGCCGAATGTGTGTGGTTAATTTGATGGTTTATTTTAGTATTACGACACACCATTCAATTTGAATTGTGCACGCACTCATTCAAATTCGGGTATCATAATCTAGACGGAAGAATATGCCGCACATTTGTCCCAGCCCGTTAACTTAGCCTCAAATTCTTTCGTTCGTAAGTACGTGAGCATTTTCATCGCAGTCGTTTTCTTTAGACGGGAGTCAGCGTCGAGAAATATTATTTTTCTGGGGGTTGGGTGTCGTTAACGAGTATTTACGAGGACACGAGCGTCTCTACCTGACGGCGGCGCCTTCCGCCGGATCGGCCGTAATTGCGCCCAATTAGAGCATTATGCTGACGTGAATACGGTACGGACGCGATAATGGCGATACTATCTGTCCTCTCGCCCTCGCCACCTCGCCGCTCCTTGCCACTGAACCCAATGAAACGCTTTTCTTTCCCCTAATTCACATTCCGTATCTCAGCGCGTTCACAGTCCTCTCCATTTCTTACGCGAGACGTGAAACGCTCACGTAACTTTCACTCGATTAACCAAGGAGACTTCCTTATGAATTCACTGTCAGTTTTCATTACATTTAGGTAGTACCGAAGACAAATCTTTATGACAATGTTATTCTTTATGCGCGTCGCTGTAGCCTGCCTTTGCCTTTATTCATTCATAACTCTTCGCAGATAATATAATAGGTACCTACATGCACCAAGGACGTCACTACGAGTGTATATACTTACGTGTGTGGGGCACCATTTCTTCGCAAAAGGCATGTGATATGTATTACCTACGTGTTGTGTTATTTATGTAACAAGTATAAAGACAAAGTTTTTGTGAATAGGAACATTTTTTATTCTTAGCTGTGCGTGCGTTAACTACGTACCTGTGCGTGCGTGGTACGTAGTTTTCCGCTATTCTTAGAGTTCAGTTATAAAGTGCCTGAATTCAGCAATACTTTAACTGGATAATATCTTTTTTTACACCTCAGAATAATAGTTATTAACATCAAAACTTAAAAGTTACTTAAAACTTTTATATACTTTTACGTACCGAATAGAGATTACGACATACTTCAAACCACAGACTTATACTAAACTGTAAGCAGCTGCTTATGATACCAATTTTTCTATTGAATAATGTCATAATCTTTGTACACATAAGTAAAGCTATAAAGTCGTCGCATGCTTACAATTTTCGTCATTTTCGTTGTAAAAATGTCGTAAACATTTTGAACATAGCTTCGAGATGCAAATTAAATATTAGCAAGGACCCGCACCGCGGCACGTTTGCCTTTCGAGCACCGATCCCTTTTGTCATTTAGTAATAATTTATACACCAAATCTTACTCAAGGAACGCATCTTAATATTCTAAAAATCGCTTCAAAGTCCGTTGAGTCCTTAAATTTTCAATAGCATTTGTATTATTAAGTACGTTTCTAACAAAATTGTAATGAAAGGGAAGTTATCTAAGGAATGAAATAGTTTGACTTCCTCGTGAGTTTAGTATACACAAATAACCTGGGTTAGGTTTCTAGATTACATTAAAGTTCGAAATATGCATAGCTTATCTTTACTTACAGAACCCATAACATTATCTTGCAAAAGTGAATTCACATCAGTGAATAACCTTAAAATACAACGTTCCCTTAAAAACAGAGTGCGGAGTTCATTGTCTTTTTTCACTCCTTCTTTGTTCTGAATATTCATAGTAATAACTGTTACATAGGACTCGTGCCTACCTACTACTTATCATCAAGTTCTTACGTCTATTGATAAAAATACTTTCTATTTAATCAACAGTTCCACCGATGTTATCCATCCCGAACCAACTGGAGGCGGCATACATTGGGCAGGACGTGACGCTGGAGTGCCATACGGAGGCGTACCCCTCCTCCATCAACTACTGGACCACTGACCGCGGAGACATGATCATATCAGGTACAATACAATTAATTTTACGTTTCTTTGTAGGTATTAGGTTCTAAGTATTTCATTTTGCACCCATTATAAATACCAAGCTGTAATAATTATGTATTTATTTAAAGAAGATTTTTCTTAAATAATCTAATATAACGTAATCAAATAAAATTATATTTTTTTATTGCTTAAGTACAAATCACGAACAAAAATCTATTTAAACCAATAAATCACTTTGTAAATAACATAATGTGCTCTTACCGTAAAAAAGGCAACGTGACATATGTCCCTAAACCGGTCGGTACCACTTAATTAAGTCCCCGACGCCCTTGAAACCTGAATAAAGTTCGTAACCGGACTATATCTGGGGAGCTAAATTAGAATTCGAGTTGTGTGAAGACAGGCATTTGATCACCTCTAATATTAATATTAAAATTAATTATGATTTAGTTAATTAACTCATAACCTTTCCAACTAGTGTCACATCACTTGAATAAGAGTTTATATCGTAAATTGGACAGAAGAAATCATTTGGAACACGATCAAAATATGAATTTACTAAGATGTAATTGATTCGCAGCGTAATTGACAAGTTAACGTCAGACTTTCCGGAGCGAGCAAATTAATCGAATTACTAATGACTTCGTTTATCCGTCTGCAGGAAATAAATACATCACGTCACTAAGCGACGACAGTTACAGTCGGAAAATGAAATTGACTATACGGAGGGTATCGTCAAAAGATTTTTCATCTTACCGCTGCGTCGCGAAGAACTCCCTCGGCGAGACGGATGGGCTTATCCGACTTGACGGTAACACCAGATTATTCGTAGACATACTACATATGCTATCTTCCGTACATCGATTTTTGGAAATATTGAACATGACTTCTTTACCAATCTATTTACTGAATCAGAAAATAATTGCCAATTGGTACTACATTAAAATTCATGCATATTTCAGAAATCCCCGCTCCTTCGACAACGAGTACCACGGACAATAACGTCCCTACATTTCCTCAAAGAAAGAAAGGTGCGTTTTTCCTTCTATTTACTCATTGTTCTCTGTAAATTGTATTTCAAATAACCAAGTGCGTAATGTAAACATTCTAGAGACGATTCAATTTATGGGGGCAACTTAAGTGTCTTGATCCGTTTGATAAAGGAGCAATTTTGGCACCTACGGCCGGAAAAACGTGGTGCAAGTCCCGCATTCCACAGTTATACATTCATCGCAGTCTCAGGGTCACCAAACGGAAGGGTCGATGGAGAATTTTGTATTTATCGGTTTTGCCGGCACAGCCCAATGCTTGCGTACAATTGGGTCGTTAGTAATATTATTGTGGGAAAAGCGATTTTGTTTGCGCTTTGACTTCCAATATACCTTCTTATTGTTATAGATTTGGGTTTTCTTTTATACTCTTTATGGCGTCATATGTTTTGTTCATACTTGAAAGCCCACTTTTACAGCCCCTTAGCAGCATGTAAGAAAATTTTACGACGCAATCATTTTCCACATCGGCTTTTTTGCTCATGGGACATTTGTATCACATGTACCTTGTTTCTGTCAGGTAAACATAAAAATCGTTGGCGGGACAGCTCCGCCGAGAACAGAGTCATAGGAGACTACGAAGTAGAAGAGTGGAAGGATGTCGGTAAGTGTAATACTTACATTATTTAGTAGTTTAAAAGCCTTTTAGTGTTTCTGCAGCACCGCTTTACGTCGATAAAGTTGCCTGCGAGAGATAATTGGCACGATAGAAAGATGCAAATTGGTAAAATATTTCACTATGGAGCGCTCGTTAAGTATGCTGACTGGAAATAACTTCGACATGTAATTAGTTACTATAAATGCAAATGATCGTTTCCATATTTTAATTGATGGAATTATTGGTGTATATACTTTATATCTTCCGTTTAGATTACGAGTCGACGCAGTCTTCCCGGTCCACCATCAGTCGAGGCGCTTCTCTGGTCATCATTGGAGGCTTTTTGATTGCAAGCTGACATACGGCCACCGGTTTCCAGGTCCTATCCTAGTGCCAATAAGACGTTTGTGCTAAAAGAGATACGAAAGCAGTGATAAACATTAGGATAGGTGCTGTGTCAGTCATAAACTTGTCATATCGTTTAATTACGACTCCAAAATATCATTTAAAAACTGTCATCACATCGAAATTATCTATTATAAGTTTATTATTTATTTTACATTGCAAGAATAATTTATGGAGACGTAGTATCTATTTGATAGAAATTGTAAATACTTTTCGATATAATTGAAAGACTGATAGAATTGTACTATTAATGTGCCATATCTTATCACATAACTATAAATTGAGTTTAGTGCATAAGGATGTTTATTTTCCCTCTTTATTTCTTTTTACAATACTATTAAACTCTTCTATTAAAAACTGTTTACAAAGTCAGTAGTAAATGTCCTCAAACTTCAATAGTGTGTTCAATTTACACCGTGTAGTTAATCGGTTTAAATACTTAGAGCACACGTTTGTACGATGTACGGCACGGCTCACGCTACATCGCCATTGCCGGGCTCGTGTCACGTACTTGCTCGCATTAAGATAATATCATACCATTAACACTCGTTACAATTACTCACTCGCCAGTTAAATGACCATCTGTTAACTTGGAATTAAGTTATGACCATATTTTCCCTCATTGTAAAGAGTAAATAGAATAAAAGAGAATTATATCCACGTACTTAGTTCCTCTGTATGATCTACCGCCTCGCCACAACAATGTGCAGGACAAAGAAAATCAATTCTTGCTTTGTATTTCGTTTTCTCTCTTTCTCCTGTAAAATAGTAAGGGATATAAAGAAATGTTGGGTTTGGCTTTAAATGTCTATCATATTATTATTGTTGTTATTATTGTTGTGTAAAAATGGTTTTGAAAATATTATTACGTTTGTTACATACCTGGTCTATGGTAAAAGTATGTTCTAGCTTATGTTTCAATTATGTATTGTAATTACGTTATTGATTCTCCCCTACCTGTCCTATCCACAAATTGTTCTAGTAATCTAGTTTCTATCGATCTGTAGTGCTAGTCAGTAAAATTCACTTTCCAAACTCTATCGAATGACAACGCACTATTCGAATATTTGCAAAATCGAATAAAAAGTGACACTTTGTGAATAGCACTACAGTTTATTTTTTGAAAACTTTGTTATTTTGTTTTAGTCACCAATGTTTGCAATAACTATAAAAAAAGAAATAAAAGTACTGGCTTCTATAAAATACAAAGATAATTTGTTCCTTGGATAAAAGCTTTATACAAATTGTAAATATTATAAGTTATACGCGATGTTAAATTAATGTACTTACTGTTATGTTACTCGTTTCTTACCAAATGTTTACCTAAATACGTTTTGTACATAATCTCATCACTTCTGCAATAAAGACAATATGGCGTGCTTTGTAATATAAATAAATAGCTATATAATATTTCGACGTACGAGGCTTGCGTTATTTTATTTCTCTAGTACGCATTGGTTGTTGTTTGTACCATTTCCAAAATTGTTATAGAGAATCATAGAACAAGATGCAATCTTAATTTATTGTACCTGTAGAATAATAAATAGATAAGGACTACATATCTTGGAAATGGTCTATTTCAGCGTTGAAAACTTTGTATAGTGACCGTTGCAGTTAGTTGTTTATGTAAAGTTACAAAATAAATGAAATTTCTTAAATCCTTTGAGTATAATTTGTCACTGAAATTACACTACACTGAGCCAGACTTTCTGAAATGTTACAGAAAGATAACAAATGAACATAGTTACAAATGAATTGCTATTAGCAACTTAGTTGAAACTAGACTGGAATCGCTTCATGCAGTGAGTACTTTTTGTTTATAAAACTAAAGGTTACAAAGGGTGAGTTTTGCAAAAGACAAAGGCCATTAAATTTAGTACAGAAATAGGTTTTGTCTTGATTAAAATGTATTTTTTATCTCAAGATTTTGAAGATAAACTGTTCTTTGTTCACATGTAAGTAAGGCAATGGTATCGCCACGACATCGCGAACATAAACGTAGACGAGCAACAAAGCGGCATTGTTTACAGAATTATTACAGTTCTCCCACTCGGGCTTATTTTGCATAAAATAATGGAGGCGGAAGCGGTACCTGGCCAACTAGGCACTGCGCGGCCGGGCACAGACACTTTAATGCACTTACTGCCAAGAGTCACGAGCAACTGACGAGCGTGAATATAGCTTTACCGGTTTTAAAATTCGTGGCTGCATCGCATTCAAAACTCGGTCAGATGACGTACGGATGGAATCAGCTCGTTTGCATGAACACACGTCGGAGTTCGAACGTTCTTTCATATTGGTGTTTTAAATGCAGCCGATGAAATTTCACCGTGTCAGTCACAATTTTGGAAGGGTAATAAATTGTATGGATCTTTATTCAAAAATGTGAATGCAATTCTATTATATTTTGCTACGTGTTAAAAATGTTGGACGATTTTTTGTATTTAAGTTCAAAAAGAAATTAGTATTAAAGAAAAATTCATAGATATGATAGACGATAAATGTGTAGATTTCGAAAAATCAAGAGTTTGTAGAAAATTTCTTAGTCAAATCAAGTACACAAAATCCAACATAAACATAATAAGTAGGTAAAGTAAAGTATTTCAATGATATAACCAATTCAGGGTTGTGTGGTTACGAGCGACCCTATGATGGTATATCGATTTTATGCAAAATGCAACAAACTTCCTCGCTGCGAACACTCTGTGCTATATTAACCGTAAACCGCGCTTATTTTGCCAGCATTGCGCGCTTTATTATTATAAAATAAGCCATCAATTTATCCTACCTACTTATCGGACCATCGTTGTAAATTGGGGTTGTGAAACTGCGGCTACCGGCCTACCGATCTACATAACATTATATTTAACATGTTCATAAGACTTACAAAGAATATCTCACTTACGTAAATAATTAAATTCAACACTTAACCACCCACCCTAAGTAACTGTAATGACGTAAAGTGTTGTGACACATTGTGGGTTGTATGTGTATGAATGTATGTTACTAAAACTGACAATTGAATCGTAAAATTAGTGACTTTGAACGAACAGGATTGTGTCATTATTTAACACTTAATTGGATATCGATAAATATAGTGGTGATACGGAACATTAAACGGGATCGATGAGTTAATGTACCATCGCTTCGGTGGTGTGGAAGTGAGAAACGGAACGAACGCATATGCACAGCAAACAGAAATAATCGGCAGTGATCGATCGAACGAAACACCTAGAACAGTTCCAGTAATCCCAGGTAAGTACTTAAGCCACTTTCAATATTATTTAATCAAAAGTTTATTTAGAAGCGGAACAAAATCTTGATAAGTCAATAACTTATTAATACCATAAACACCAGATACTTCGAGAGATCAATTTATATTCTCATTTTTTGTCGGGTAACAAACAGCAATCGTATAAGATACGATTGGTGTCTTCAAGCCAGTAGACATGAAATAAAAAAACATGTCACACGGCGGTTCAATCAAGCAACAAACATTTCGTTTTTATTGTCGATATCCTCGTATAAAGAAAAGTATAAAAATAATAAGGAGTCGTGAGGGAAAATAAAATATAATAATAGCACGCCGTCAAAGTCATTGTCCAACGGCTTGAAAGGATTTAGGGTGTGTTTTAGGATTATTATACATAAGTATACGACGTTTGAAAAGGGTATGCGGTCAATTTGGTACGATTTGAATTTCGTGTTGCCTTCAGCATCCAATCATAAAGTACGATATCGGTGACAGTCACAATTTTGTTTACAAGGATTTATCTGCTCCGCTCTGTCGCAGGGCAATATTGGTACGTTTATTGTATCGCGGTCGGTGATATTTGACGCCACACTGATATCTGTTACTCCGTGTAATGCCAATAAAAATGTTTATTTCCCTGATCATCCTTGGCAAAGAAATACAAACTGTGTTACAGTTTCATATTAGAGCAGACGAACTATGAATTAAGTACCTGGAAAAATAAAGTTACAAGGTACAACCTTTCGGAATCGCTACGTGGTAACGTTTTAGAAATTAAAATTAACTTGAAACTAAACAAAAATTTTCATTTTATAGTAGTGGTGGATAATTTACGTAATATCTTAAAAGACACAATTCTGAAAAGATAAAATTGGTTCTTGATCTAGATGATTGCTTTTTTTCTTTGCGTCGGCGAAGAATTCGAACAATTGTCGGGACATGATCGACCCGTCTGGGCCGACAATGCCCTGTTCTCACTGATCAGGGTCAGGCAAAATACTTTGATAGCGAACCTTCATATCAGAAACAGTGCGTAGGTACACCGAAATAATACGACGTTACAAGTCATACCAACATTACACAATTTCGGCTCCCATTTCACAACTCAAGGTTCTAGGTGACAACATGATGAGCGCTGACATTTTGATTAATCCAATTATTTGGCGTTGCGTATAATATGTCAAATTAATAAGATCTCCAACTGACTCGAGACTGTATTGCCATTTATCAACTAATAATTAACTTTTAGCATTAAACAATATTAATCTCCCGTTATCCGAATACTGTGTGTGAATTATTACAGCTATGTATATTGTATATATGTGTTCACCAACAATCCAACATGCCTAATTAAGCAGGTACAATTTTAACACCCAGGTTGTAATTAGAGACGTACTTTTAACATTATTACATTTTAACTACTAAAGTTATTTTATTATCATACCAAGCTTAGCTCGTTTATTTTTTCCGACATAGCTTTCCCTCATTAAAAGCGATAAGTTTCACAAGTTTTTCAATTGTACAATACAAAATGCAGAGCAAAAATATCTCCTTTTATCTGATATCATTTACGAAGCAACGCATTACATTTCCCTCGGTTTGTATCAGAAAAAAATAGTTTTCGTACCCATCACATTAACGATGAAAGCAACTACAACATTTTTAAAACTTCCCCGTCCACCATTAAAATAATAACTTCC